TGGGTCTTTAAATTTTGGGGCCCCAGTGTTTTTTAGTTGTTTATAAATTCTAGAAAGTAGACCTATGTCTGCGTACTTATTTTTCATGATTTTTCTAAATTTGTGGGTTGTCTTTTCACTTTGTTGGTAATTTCTTTTGATGTGAAAAATCTTCTTAGTAAGGGGAGGTCCCAGTTGCTAATTCTTTCAACAGTTTCCCATGCTATTTGATTACTGTTCATCAACCCTTTGCCTACCCCCATGTCTTCAAAAGTTACTCCTACTTTCTCTTCCAGGAGATTTAGTATCTCAGCTTTAATGATTACATTTTAATCCATTTTGACTTTAACTTAGTGCATGGTGATAGACTGCAGTCACGTTTTAATTTTCTGCATCTAGACAGCCAGTCTTTACTGCACCATTTGTTAAAGATGCTATCTTTCTTCCATTGAGCATGTTTGGCCCCTTTGTCAAAGATAAGGTGGCTGAGTATGTTCTTAGTCTTCAGTGTTTTCTAATCCACTCCATAGATCCTCTGGTCTATTTTCTTGCCAGTACCATGCTGACTTTATCACAGTAACCTTGTAGTACATTTTCAAGTCAGGAATTATAATGCCTCCAGGCTTGTCTTTATTGCCCAGGATTGCCTCTCCTACTCTCGGTCTTTTTTGGCTCAAAACAAATTTTTGCAATGAATTCTCTAGCTCTGTGAGACATGTGGGTGGTAGTCAGGTAGGGATTGCATTAAATCTGTACAGCAATTTTGGGAGTATGGCCATCGTCACAATGTTGGTTCTTCCTATCCAGGAGCATGGAATATCTTTCTGTTTTCTAAAATCCTCTATGATCTCTTTTTTAAGAGTACTGTAATTTTCCTTGCAAAGATCTTTGACTTCTTTGGTTAGATAAATTCCAAGGTATTTCATTTTCCTTCGTGCTGTTGTAAAAGGTATGATTTCTCTAATTTCACTCTCAGTGTGTTTGTTGTCTGTGTAGAGGAATGCTATTGACTTTTGGGCATCGACTTAATAATCTGCTATGCTACTGAATTTCTGTATTAATTCTAGTAGCTTCTTGGTGGAGTTTTTTGGGTCTTCCAAGTAAAGTATCCTGTCATCTGTCAATAATGATAATTTAACTTATTTATCTATTCTTGTATCTTTTATTTCTTTCTTTTGTCTAATGGTTGTAGCTAAGGTTTCCAGTACTCTATTGAACAGGAGTGGTGATAGAGGACATCCTTATCTTCTACCTGATCTAAGAGTAAAAGATTTCAGTTTTTCCCCATTTAGGATTATATTAGCTGTTGGGCTTTCATAAATTCTGGCTTTTACCAGATTGAAGTAGTGGCCATCTAATCCAATTTTCTGTAGGACTTTGAACATGAATGAGTGTTGGACTTTGTCAAAAGCCTTTTCTGCATCACTGGAGATGATCATGTGGTTTTTAGTTTTCGCTCTATTGATGTAGTGTATTACATTTATAGATTTTCGAATATTGAACCATCCTTGCATCCCTGGGATGAATTCTACCTGGTCATGGAGTATGATCTTCTTGATGATTTGCTGTATTCTATTTGCTAGGATTTTATTAAACATTTTGGCATGTATGTTCATGAGGGAATTTGGCCTGTAGTTCTCTTTCTTAGTTGAGTCTTTCCCTGTTTTTGATATCAGTATAATACTTGCCTCCAGAAATTATTTTCAGAGGATTCTTTCTTTTCAATTTTACTGAAGACTTGAGGAGTATAGGGCCTACATCTTCTATAAATTTCTCATAGTATTCAACTGTGAATTCATACGGACCTGACTTTTCTTTGTCGGTAGGAGTTTAATTATATTTCATATTTCCTTGACTGTTATTGAGCTATTGACAGTGGTTATATCTTGTTAATTCAGTTGTGGTAATTTGCAACTTTCTAGGAATCTGTCCATTCTTTCCTTGTCTTCTATTCTTTGAGAGTAAAAATTCTCAAAGTAGCTGTTGATAATCTTCTGAATTTCCACCGGGTCTGTGGTAATTACACCCTTTTCATTCCTTATTGCTTGTATTTGAATTTTTTCTTTCCTCTTTTTGATGAGTGTGGCTAGGGTCTTATCGATTTTATTTAGTCTTTCAAACAACTACCTTTTTGTTTTTTAACTCTTTGAATTGTTTTCTTCATCTCAATTGAATTAATTTCTGCTCTAATCTTTATGATTTCTTCCCTTCTTTGTTCTCTGAGTTTGATTTTCTCTTCCTTTTGTAGTTGTTGTAGGTGCAGCATTAGGGTATTTATTTTTTCCTCCTATTTTTTCATAATGTATGTGTTCACAGCTATGAATTTCCCTCTGAGAACTGCTTTCATCATATCCCATAAATTATGATAAGTTGTACTTGAATTTTCATTGAATTGTAGATATTTTTAACTTTCTTGTTTAATTTCATCTGTGACCATTGGTTGCTGAGTAGTGTGTCATTTAATTTAGATGTATTTAGGGTGATTTTCTGGTTTCTTTTGTCATTTATTTCCAGTTTCATTGCACTGTTGTCAGTTAGTGTGCATGGGATAATTTCTTTTTTGTTATATATACTTAAGCATGTTCTATTTACCAGTATGTGCTCGATTTTAGAAAATGAATCATGTGTAGCTGAAAAAAATATGTATTCAACAGGGGTTGGATGTAACACTCTGTACATATCCACTATGTCTATTTGTTCCAAGCTCTGGTTCATTTCTGCCACTTCTTTTCTAATTTTTTGTGTGCTTGACCTATCTTTTTCCAACAACGTTGTATTAAGTTCTCCTGTTAAGCTCATGGTATTGGATATTAGATTTTGCATGTCACGATTTGTCTCATATAATTCTGTGCTCCTGTGTTTGGTTCATACATATTTACAAGTGTTACGTCCTCCTCTTGGATGTTTCCCCTAGCCAGTATATGTTGTCCTTCTTCATTTTGTTTTATCATTCTCGGTTTGAAGTTGAGACTGCTTGAGAATAGGATTGCTAGTCCTGCTTTTGTCTGAGGTGCTGGGCCATCGTTTTTCTGATTTCCTCTATTTTTTTTTTTGGCAATATCTTTTTGTGGAGCAGTTATTAATTCTTTTACTACAGAAATCTTTTCTGATCTGATTTCCTCTATATGTTTCTGCGTTTGATTCTTTACTTCTGAGGCTATTAATTCAGAGATTTCTTTCTTATTTCATAGTTTATCTCTGATCAGAGTTCCTCTATATCTTTCTGCGGTTGTTTCTTTACTTCAGATGCCATTCCTTCAGAATTTCTGCTGTGTGATTCCGAAATTTGTTCTGTGGTAGTGTCCTCTGCACTTGTTCTGGGTGTGCTCAGGACTTGAGGTTGCACTTTGCTCCTTCTCTTTGTCACTTTGTATAGCAATGTCGTCTGATTTTTGGTGCAGCGTTTTGGTGCAGTTATAACCTTAGCACCTACTGAAATTCATGTGCCATTCTATGAAGTTTGAGTTCATCCAGTTGTGCCTGGCTTGGATCTGGCTGTTATGCTCAGCTCCTTCATGCTGTCACCCTCAGAAGTGAACTTATTTTGCCCCTCTGGCAAGATGTTTCTCTTCTGGATTAGTTGGGTAGTTCTGGCCCATAGTCTTTCTGAAGGAACTTCAGGTGCAGTGTTTCACCCCAGGTCTGTATGCTCATTCCCAACTGTGTCTTGAGGGTTCCATGTGGCAGAAGGTACTCTCCCACTC